CTAAGAATATTTTACGTGATTTAAAATATCAACAAGCAATTTTTCCTAATAAAACTTTAGCCAAAGTTCCATAAAATACAAGTAACTTTGTCGTATTTTCAAAGGGGTGAAACCTTAAAGTTTGTTCCGATTTAATGCCGATGGTTCAGTGACTTTTGTCTCTTGTTTTGTCAAGTTTAGGAAAAGCATTTGTTAGACGGTAGCCGTTATAAGGTAAATGGATTAGTTTCGGAAGTTGTGGCTTACTTTGGAATTGTTGTTATTGATTAGATTGGACCGATCAATCATTAGTGTGACACATCAAATTATATTGATCTTATGTACGTTTATTATTTATATTGAAGTGAAAAGTTAACGATTCATGAGGCGATTGGTCTCCGAAAATAATAGACCTAATACATTTATCATTTTTTTTAAACTGACGTCACTGTTTTAACAATCTTTAATCAACTTCAAATCAATCTATAGTACATCTTACATATGACTGTGTGATTACTAACTAGGCTAACCCTGTTCTAAATAACTAGACGGCTGCTAAAATACTTATATATTTCTAAATACATACAAAGTACTAATAAATGAACTACACCCAGACACACAACAAATGATCGTGCTCATCAGACCCGACTTTTGGATTAACAGTGAGGATCGCTAATCGCTAGACCAACGGACCCGTCGTCGTCAACAACTTATACTTTATATTACTCAATTTATAACTTAATCATATTTCTATATTTTAACAAGCTAAAATTCAAAGTTTAAGCGCCTTTTGCTTCTAAATTAGATATAGTAGGTAATTCCACAGTATTTTTTTAAGAATTCGCCCAACTGGTTTATTAAGTTTTACTTATTTCTTTATTATGTAACACAGTGATTCATTAATAACTATATTTTGGAATCCTAGCCACCAAATATACTAAGAAACATATTAATATCAAATTAAACAATAAAAAAACGTGGCATACCTCATGGTATCTAACAAACTTTCTCACTCTATAATATACATATCTCCGATATTCGAGTGTTTAAGCACATGAAATTGAGAACTGGGAATAAAGAGTTTTAAGTACAAACTGTGATATTCGCCACGTGCGTTTGTTCGTCTCTTAAGGTTTCCTAATATCAATTTAGACTATTAAAATGGTTGTGTAACATTGAACTTATGTTGACATTTTGGTATTTTCATAACTCGAAATTACTTCATCTGTAAGTAAAATAATTTATAACTTAACTACTTAATTACTAATTAGTAAAAGCAGTCTTATCATGTTGAGTTTAATTTCTCTCTTTGTTTCGTTTTTATCGTCTATTCTTTGATCTTTTTACTTAAGTTTGTCAACACCTACTATCATTAGTGAGAGCTTTAACGCAATTATTATTTAATCAACATTCAAGGTAATTATGATTGTTCCTTGTTATTATTGTTTGTTGCTGGGAGTAAAAACAAGCAATAATAACAAGGACCAATAATTAATTAATTAATTAGTTATTTGTTAAGCAATTCTGTCGTTGCCTTTCACTGAGTGAGTGAGGTTACCGGAGCCCAAATCCCCGACCATCAGACTGTCCCGCTCCCGCTGTCTCGAACGGGAGGGACTCCAAGGGCGGCTACGGCTACTTGTGACTTTTGAGTTGCAGGTGTCCATGGGCGGCGGTAGTTGCTTACCATCAGGTGACCCGCCTGCTCGTTTGCCCCTTATACCATAAAAAAAAACATTTTCTAATTGCTTTAAACGGTCATATTATTAAAGATTATGTGCCTGTATTTTCTAGGTAGTATTTTTATGTTGCAAAGAATCGCAGATTTATGATAGAAAATACGCAAATAAATAACAAATATCGCTTTTAAATCAATCTAATTGGGACTTTCCTTAGCTAGTAAATTGTCCTTGGTATAGGACGCCACCATTTACAAAAGTACATTAAAATCAGTACACAATGGTCCACGACAATACATGATATCATCATTATCTTCAGGCATAACATGTTTCTGATGCACATATCGCTCAGTGCCTTCTTAATGAAGATCAGTTTAAGCGGCCCACAGGAGATCCCATGATCGTAATTCCCATTCTATTATCTACGAGTGTCGGTTAGCATAGTTTAAAATTTTTACAGAGATTTAAAGCAAAATTGAAATGGTGCATAAAACATGAAGAACAAATAAAAATGGATATTTTGGCCACGACACATGATTTGAAATATTTTAAAGATTTTTGGAAGAATGTCAATAAGCTAAATGGCAAGCCGCGTCTGCCTGTGAGTGTGAACGGTGTGAGTGAGCCCAGAGCCATTGCCGAGATGTTCAAGGACCATTTCAGGGTGCCATCGCAGCCCTTGATCCCTGGTGAAGTTGCTGAGACCGGTGCACAAAGAAACGGAGATACAGATATACCGCTAATTCATATTACAGCTATAGAAGTTGCGAAAGTCATTAGGCACATGACCAGGGGAAAGTCTCCTGGTCACGACGGACTCAGCATAGAACATCTCAAATATGCGGGGGCTCACTTACCTGATGTGCTAGCTCTGCTATTTAATCTTTGTATACGACACTCGTACTTACCACCAGATTTAATAAAGACCATAGTAGTACCGATTGTTAAAAATAAAACAGGAGACCCATCAGATAAAACCAACTACAGACCCATTTCGTTGGCCACAATAACAGCAAAGGTGCTTGATGGTGTGCTTGATAGGCGCCTGGATGAGCATATTACCCTCCATGACGCGCAGTTTGGTTTTCAGAAGGGATTGTCAACCGAGAGTGCCATTCTGGCGCTCAAGCACACCATCAGGTACTATACCGATAGAAGCACACCAGTTTACGCGTGTTTCCTGGACTTATCCAAGGCCTTCGACTTGGTGTCATATCCAATGCTTTGGGATAAGCTGGATAGGGTGGGTGTCCCGATCGAGCTCAAGGGAATTTTTAGGCACTGGTATGAGAATCAGGATAACTGTGTGAGGTGGGGGGACGAGTGCTCAGCGGAGTATAGGCTAGAGTGCGGGGTGAGGCAGGGGGGGTTGACCTCTCCTAGGCTTTTCAACCTTTATGTTGACGGGCTGATCCGGGAGCTCAGCAGTATGCATGCGGGATGTTCAATCGATGGCGTCAACGTCAATAACATCAGCTACGCGGACGATATGGTTCTGCTGAGCCCGTCGATCAGTGCACTCCGGAGGTTGTTACTCGTATGTGAGAGCTATGCACTGGCTCATGGACTAAAATACAATTGTAAAAAGAGCGAGTTCATGGTTTTCACCGCGACCAATAATTATCCACGGGTCGTGCCTCCTGTCAAACTGAATGGAACAACCTTGTCTAGAGTCAGGCAATACAAATACCTAGGTCACATTGTTACAGAAGACCTGAAAGATGACCAAGATATTGAGCGTGAGCGTAGGGCGTTGGCGGTCAGAAGCAATATGATCGCCCGTAGATTTGCACGAGCTTCAGAACAGGTAAAAATAACTCTTTTCAAAGCTTTTTGTCAATCTTTTTACTCTGGCAGTCTATGGGTGAAATATACGCGGACGGCTTACAGCGCACTACGTGTGCAATACAATAATGCCTTCAGGATGCTGATGAGACTGCCGTGGCACTGCAGCGCATCTGGCATGTTTGCAGAGGCGCGGGTTAATGACTTTTATGCAATCATGCGCAAAAAAGTAGCCTCGCTTATGAATAGAGTGTGCGGCAGTTGCAACAGTATCCTGAGGGCGGTTGGTGAAAGTTACGAGTGTCCTATCAGCCACCATTGGACGACTGTGCTGGTTGGGTTAGGGTAGGTAATTTAATTTATGACATCAAATTTTTACTATTTAATTAACTATTTTATGATTGTTTACTTGATTTTGTGACATGTCCTAATTTTAATTTTAATTTTAATCTTAATCAATGAAGTAATGTAATAATCTTTTCAAATATTAATTCATTTTATTTATTTATTTATTTTTAAGTAAATTGTGATTGATGATATGATGTAATTAATTATTGTTTTTGTATATGGAACAAGATTTCTGAAATAAATTATATTATTATTATTATTATTAATCGCACCCCAGAGGGCACTTGCAACTAATCCAACGATACAACTTCGCTTCAGTCCCTTTTTATGCTAAGAATGAAATTTTACATCAGTTTTTATTCCTGAAGTTGGGATTTTTGTAGAGAAACGAAGTTTTTTTATGGGAGCCTGTACGGTGGTGCTATGTTGAGAGTCTTTTGTTAAATTTTATTTTGTTATTTAGTTATCTTTATTACTTCTTTAAGGACGGTAGTAATGCTTTGAATTTAAAGGTCTAAGAAATAAAATACCTCATCAATATTCAAGGAGTTCCAGAGATCTGTAGACCGTCTGAAAAATTGTGATCTGATTTAATTCCAAAAATTTTAAAACGCTTTTGCTTTTTATTTTAAGTCTTATTTGGATGTAATTAGAACTACTAAATGATATCTGTGCTTTAGTAAAAGTTACGCGCACGGTAAATGTTACATGGTCAAGGTTACATATTTATATATTTATTCAATAGATCGATCTGTGTAAATCAAAAAGTACGATATATGTTGATATCGATGACGAACAGATGATTTTTTTTTTAAACCTCATTTCATGGATTATTCATGGATGACCTTGAGATTAATTATGAAACTCGACAAATAATGGAAATTCTTAATTAACAATTTTCGTTATTTGTCAAATTTAATAATCCCTTACCTTTTATATGAATATTTAGTGATGAAATCTCAATCTAATGAATATTTACATTTCAGCTGGTGATAATGAATGCCAAAATCTTTAAATGACAATCAAAGCTTACAAACGTTAATATAAATAAATCTTTTCCTAAGACGATCCAATTTTATGATTTATCTCCATCTCTAAATTTTAGGATTATGATAATACCAGCTTTTGCCCGCTGTCTGAAGTAAAAATTAGTAAATGTACTTTTAAATTACTATGTCAGAAGTCTGTCTACCAAGTCACTCCACAACCATGATAGAGAGTGAATGGTAATGTCCTTTGTTATTCAAGAAAAGATTTCGATATGCCATATCGAAATCTTTTAAAAACAGTACTGTTATGATTTGATAGTTAGATTTTGATAGTTTTAAGAAAATCAACATTGAGTTGGCAAACAAACAAATTTAGCACCAGTTTATTATTTGATGGATAATTCGTCATTTATAGTATTCAAAATAACCATTGTTGTAAAAATATCGAACTAACTTAATCGGATTTCATTATCTAGGGGATTCCCACTATGACAGAGAAATGAATGAATATAATTTGCCACAGATTCAAAACGAATGTGTATTGTTATTTTAACAGATGCACGAGACGAAATTTATAAATTACCTTGCGATTTGCAAACGGCCGATGATTAATTCGAGTTGCTCATTTCTATGATAAATAACTGAATTGTATCAGGAAATGAATTTCTAAATGTGTTTTGTTAAAATGGAGAATTGGTGGATATTTTAGTTCTATTTACATGTAACATAGTCATATGCCTCATATGACTTATGCATATATTACAGTCAAGTTGTATATGTCGGAACCGCTAACGTAGCGGGCAGACTCATCGTTATCCCTAGACCAGAGCTCATGGAAATCGAAGATCCTTCTGCTCCTGGTGCCACTTCTTTAGGACGAGAGAGTAACTCTCGGGAGAGTACGGGGGTAAACTTCTCCCGTTCCCTCGCCACGGCCTCTTTAAAGGGCTTTATTTCCCCCAAAAAAAAGTGGCGGAATAATACGCGTTCTTACTTTGCCGTCCACGGTGTGCACTCCACTAGATTGTTGAGTGCAAGTACCCTTGTGATAGCTTTTGTAGTGATGGCACGCAGTCGCTAGTTACCAGCCTATTAAACACAAGTACTCTCTGAAACAACTGTGGGCGTTCAGCAACTGTGTCAGCCGGTAGGAGAGGCAGCCACGTTGCCTCTCCAGCTAATCACCCGTGATGAGTCTTAACGTCAAAATTGTGGTGTGCCCTGCGCTCGGTCACCCAAGTCGCTCTTTCAGTTCCGCCATAAGAATCTGAAAGAGCTAAGACCGCTCACCTTGGTTACTGAGGAGTAGGTTTAAGGGTCTCCTCCTTGCACTAATGATATGATGATGCAAGGGTCTAAAGGCCTTAAGGTCCCGTGGCGCTGATCTCACTACGAGACTTGCCGCTTCGAAGGAAATCGTGCGTTATGACGGCCATCGCTGGTTTCAGGTTGGTAAGATAGGTAGATAGGTACTGTTGCGTTGTGGGTTCTCTAACCAAATAGGGGTTCCGTATAGGAATATAAATAGCATTATAGAACCTCCTACAGCAGATCTAGGTAAGGCTCTGTTAAGTTGAGTTGCAGCCGTGAAAGCGCATCCGCTGTCACATCATCGTGTACACATCATCATCATACACACATAATATACGGAAGTTGTAAATGCCCACATGCTACATATTACTTTATAGTATAGTCTATCTAAAGGTTGTGTTATTGTCTGAAGTGACAAACATTTGTAAGAAAAAACCTCATTCATAATTACAAACCTATTTTTAAATGATTTTATTTTAAAACTAGTAACTAAACTCTAAAAACCCTGAGTTCAATTAAAAAATTATCCCCGCTGAAGTAATAATTAAACCATCTGAGGTTGTTACGTCGTTATGCAGTTTTAATCGAACTAAAACTTGGCACCGCCACCTGAACTGGTAAATTGATTAATCGCCACAAGTTTTCTTTTCTTTTGACTTTTTTACTTTGGTTAATTGTTTACCTTGCTTCCGTAGAAGGTCTGGTATTAAAGTTAAAAAGATTGAAAATATTAGGACTTTTCTTTTACGACAATTATGTAGTCTATTCGACTTTGGTCTTGTTTTGTCTGATTATATTTACACGTACACTTTTGGGTATCGTAATCACGTGCTCTGGCTTAGTTGATTAGGATCATTTACCATTGCGGGCTAGTCAATTTTATTATTGTCTAAAGAAATTATGCAACACAAAACATAGTACAAATAATCTAATTCCGGAAGCTTCATTTACTTTGCATTTACAATGCGCTGCACCGGATTTGTTATTTTTTTAAAACAATGTTAGCCCAAGATAAGTTTTACCCCATTTAGAACAGCTAAAGAAAATTTACTAACACGAACTTGTACCTATACTAATTGGATCCAAGTTGAGAACTCTGTTGGATGCCGCCTCCAGCGATCATTACTGCCATGCTGGCGGATGAGGAGGGTAGTCTCTTTTTGTTAAGCTTAGTGCTCTAGAAAGAGACTGCTGAACGTGATCGGAAGATATCCGATCCCGAGCGTAGAGGACATCGGGGGTGATACCAACCATCGATAGGGCCGCCAGAGACTAGGTATTTCTGGTGGCAGATTAATTTCTGCGGTACCCGGCACCGGATAGGACAACGGCCTGATAACATTAAGACGCAATCGGACCGCCACGCTGCAATTGAGGGTGGAAAGTTTGTAGCTTCCCCCGGGATCTAGCCTGGTTAGGCGAGTAGGGCGCCTAAGGCCGGCCGTTGGGATGGTTTTAAGTGGAATCCCTACATACTCCTGATTCCTGCGTACCAAAGGAGCATGAGATCCGAACGGGTTCTCCACCCCCCCAACAAAAAAAAACCGTTTGGTCCGATGGTTTAGTGGCCTATGCTAGTAACATTTTACTTGTCTTTATTAAAATAATATTGACATTCCTAAGTCAAGATTTTTCCTTAATTGGCTCCCAACCCTTTTGCCTGACCCTCGGGGTCCGGTCCTCTATTGCTTTTTTCCTGCTATAATATTCAACATGATATTAAAATTTTAGAATTTCCAATAAACATGAGAATTCAATTAACTTCAGAAATTCCTTATTGTTCTGCTATTTCATAATTTCTTTATGACCTTTCAAGAATCATAATCTACTCTAAAATTAATGATATTTATAATTAAAAAAAAATATATACTTAGGGTTATATTATTTATATTATCATGAACTGGAAAGTCAAAGTTGATTTTATAAAGAAGAATTATTGCAGGACTCTATACAACTCGATGCGTCTCATTTAAACACTATTCATTATTCATTTAATAATTGTATAGTAGCAGTGATGTCACTGATATAGTTTTGTGGCGACTCCCACATACAAAGAAACAGAAACATACTACAGCGCCATCTAATGAAGACGCACCGAACTACGGAGTAAATACTAAAATAAGAATTGCTAATCCTGTATCGCGATATAAAGAATTCCTTCGCCGATTAGCATATATACAACTTCCCAACATCAACCGTTGGGCCGCGGCCCGCCAGGCATGATCACCTCGCCTGGTCGGAGGATCCTCCCTTTGTGTTGGAGGGACATGACACCCGTTCCTCCACAGATTATTTCAGAAAACCAATCAGCTTTCAGTAAATTACTACCCGCTAGTATTTAATTTTGTTCTTTATATTTTCTTTTTATTTACTTTGTCTATTTATTATTCTACTCGTAATTCTTCTACGAGTGTTATTTCAGGTGAAAACTCGTCACTGGCCATGCCTTGTTACGGTTTTGTATTTGTGTATTTTAGATGTATCGCTGTAGGTTTTCTTAATATAAACAAATTATTGAAAAAATAAACAAAAACCCAACTGCATGAAAATGTATAAATACTTAAAATTTACAAAAAGGCGATTATAAATTGTTTAATTTTCATATACTTAATGTCATTGTGACGCGCACAAAATTAAGACTAATTAAACGTCATCAGAAAAAACATATATTCACTCGTAAATCATAATCCTATAGGCATCCCTATCGTCGGGTAATAATAAAACAAATCCTAATTTGCTACTAGACTTGCACCGAACAGAGATTTCAAAATAAAGCCCTTCCCTTCTATTGTTTATTCACCATGTTCATTCCAGTTATCTTCATATCGCAGTGCCGTTGTGCAATCTTTGTATTTACAGTTGTTTTCTTTTACAGACAAAGCACCATCCGAAGCCACATTTCGCGGCGCAGAGTTTCTCTCGTACGACTTGACACAAACCGGTGGAGAGCCGATAGTGAGCACGCAGGATGCCATTTCGTTATACTTCAAGACACGTCAGCCTAATGGATTACTATTCTATACTGGTGAGACTATTGATTTTTATTATGATGAGATCCGGTTGTATCAATGTGTCTCCTAATAAGTCCTATAAAATGATGTCTTGGTTAAAATATTTATAGAAAAATAAAATATCAACTTTATAAGTTGGTCGTATTGCCAAATAAATGTTATGTGGTTATCAACCAAATAATTAGCGTGGCAGAGCTAAGCTTCGTCAGACGGCTCAACTGGAATGGTACTACCGGAATGGAGGTTAAAGGACCCTCCAAATCCCCCCTCTAATTCTGCCTCGCGCTTCAAAGACTGGCAATGCACTTATGACCGGCGATAGTTACTTATCATCATATACCTCGTCTTCCTACGGTACATAAAAATATCAGACATGTAATGTACAAAGGGCGGCCTTATTGCTAAGAGCCTTCCAATCTATAAAAAAAATCTACAGATGTAGCTGAACTGGATATTTGAATATTTTGATAAATATGTTAAAACTAGCTTTTGTATAAATATAGTAAAAATGACTATGTCTTTCCTCAAGAATCAAAGTATCTTCATAACCAATTTTATCTTAATCGGTTCAGCGGTTATTGATTAAAGGGTGATTTTTGGGATAAAAGCTACCCTGTGTCCTTTCCCGGGACTCGGACTATCTTTATACCACATTTTATCTAAATCGGTTTAGCGGTTTAGATAAAATTTGGTATAAAGCGGTGAAGAGTTGACAGACAGAGAGACAGAAAGACAGACACACTTTCGCATTCATAATATTTACAAAAACTTTTTAGTCGGCGTCCACATATAGTTTTATATCCGTACTAATATAATTTACGGCTAAAGTTTACTATCAATAAAAAAACTTTTAAATACAATCTACATTTTAAGGTTTGAGATTCGGGAATGGTGCTTATACGAGTAATTCTAAACTTACAACCTTAATCTGAAATGTATTTTATCCTTATCAAATTTTTTGAATATTTTATTAAAGGAATTAATAACTTTATAGGTCATGAAGCTGACTACTTAAACCTGGCTGTTCGTGATGGAGGAGTTTCTCTTACAATGGGTTTGGGAAATGGAAAACAAGAGATGCATATCAAGCCGGCCAAAACAAGATTCGATGACCATCAGTGGCATAAACTTACCGTTCATAGAAGAATACAAGAGGTAAGGATGATCGTATAGATATATTTTATAGATGCACTTAAACTGAAAGGAGCAGTCTTCTTTTCTTCAAGCTCCTGCCTCCCGCACCTCTCCCGGTCCCCATTCTCGTCCTACCTCACTGGAGGATTAGTAGAACTCTATTAGTAGAACCTTTTGGCATTACTTTCCTCGTTATAACTGTTTTCAACTTAAAAGTGGTAAAATTTTGAATAGTTTAAAATTTTCCTAAAATAAGAAACTTAACAACAAACAACTAAAAAACAAATAGACGTTACTTGTCATATCTGTGCATTTCATTACAAAGTCTCGTTAACGATATCTTATTTAAATCGGTGTTTTTCATCAGTGAAATATGAACCAGTTCCATCATATACAGTTTAATGGCCTCCTTATTGCATTTGTTATTTGAGCTCAGATCGATAACTTATGGCTCTTTGGCGTGTAACCGTGAAGCATTCATCATGGCCGCCATTATTTCAATACATGAATCGATGTGTATCTCTCTAATTTGATTGTTAAGGACACAGTATTCGTTTTTAGAAATTTTTTCTTGGTTTGTTTTACCTTTGGTTTATTTGATAGTAATATTGATATTAATTGTAATATTTTGCATAACATATTGTTCATTGTAACAACTACATAGTATCACGCGAGAAAGCTATATTTGTCAGAACTTTGAATTGTATTTAAGTGAAGTCTTTACGGTAAAAGTTATATTGAATTTTATTGATAAAAGTATCAAGAAAACTGACATTAGGTTTGTTAATAATAATTATAATACATTATCCATTAGAATGATTTGACATTTCCCACACATGGCTATCTCATTCTACGCTAGACATAGCTGGTGCTAAGGTGATAAATATTTAGATAATATAAATTTAGACATAAAACAAATGATCATAATTATCATTTAATTATTTTTTCCCCTTGGGATCGAATCCACGACCTATGACTTCGTGATCAAGATCCTAACTAGTACAACCACTGTCCAGTCATTACAATTATTAATCTTTTAATCTGAGTTAAATTAATCTTGAAGCCCTATCTGTTTTTGTTCGAGAAGTATTAAACATTGGTCCAATTCAGAAGGGAATTATAGCTTTAATGTCTGTCTACTGATACCTTTATTACTTGGACTGTTGTCAAACGGTGCCTTTAAATATTATGTTGATAACAAACAAATTCGGCTGGGGATGCCAGGACTATGATGTCATTATTCAGTAAATTCCTCTTCACTGTAATCGGAATTGCCATTTGAATCAGAGCTATCCTATCCTACAACATTAATTAGGTATGTTTGATCTATAGCCTTTGAAATCCAAGCGCTTTTGTGCAAATAGATTTCTCGGTATATGCGGGCCAAATTTATTGTGTTGGAGTTTATAATAAGTGAATTATTATAAAGTAGGTACGAGTGTTTGTGTTTGCATGAGGAATCAACAGTCAATCTTACGTACGTAAATTTTAAGGTTTTTGATTTTATAAAAAAAGTTTCTTCAAACACGTACATCATGTAATCATAATACTTACACTTTTATTATTAGTTATAGATGTGAGAGCCTCAACCAACTTTCTTATCTTTTGTAGTACAATTTTGCAATATAGTTACCTCATGTGGAACCTCATATATACCCTCGACAAGGCTGATAAGTTAACTTATGAGTACTATCTGTATGTATTACATGCAGTTGCACATGGTGTAAAACTTAATTGATTTTTTGGTACCGCCTTAGCAGGCCATAAGGGCATAGAACAGCCATTGCCCTTTTTTTTGTATCTATATTGTGCGATCGCCTAATATAATGTTAAACCTGGGTTTGTTCAGTTTCAAGTCTCCGTGAAAATAACCTATGCAGTAAAACAAATCTATTAGGATTTGTTTTACTGCAGAGATTACGTATATTTTCAGTATGAAAGTTCTTTTTATACTTGTCTTTTGTCAAAGCTTTTGAATGCTTTGAACAATTTAGTTTATCATCTGTTAAAATTTTAATGTTATCAAATAAGTTTTTTTTTATTAAGCTTACAAAAAGAAACTCATCCAAAATCGGCAAAATCCCTTGACCTGGTTGGAATATCCCTTTTAGGATTGCTGAGAATTACATTCAGGAGAGTTATAGTACGAACTTACATTGCGTGATGCGACATAAGTAGTGGCAACTTAGTTGGGGTTACTTTCGCTAGATGGCGCTATAGTAAATTTCCTCTCCCATAGTCTAAATGATCATATATTTATTTAATTAAACTGTGCACTTCACTGTAAGTAAAACGGTAATCTTAAAAGATGTTGTGTATTTAACAAACTCTTGAACGCATAATAATTTTTTGTGAAATGCTAGCATGTTCTACTTTCTTTTGAACTGCAGACACAATGTAAAATATGAAAGTTTCTCTTGCTGCCTGTACTTTATAATACGGTGCGCAGAATAAAAGCCCTGGAGGTTTTTGACTTACTGAACCTATCTGTTACGGACAACAGTTCAAGTTTGAACTGAAGTTTATTTATGGAGAACTATATCTGCCTTCTTCATCGCTAACGTCAGTTGCAAGTTCCCTGAAAGATATAAATTTTAGTAAAACTTAAGCGGGATGTGACATAGTGAAGTAGTTGCAAGGTGCACGTTCTTATTGAAAGAAATGAAATTAATAGAGTGCCGTAATCTGCGTTTAGGTTAATGAGGAAACAAATGTTGATCGTACCGACAAATAATTTAATTTCTGCACTCTTTTTTTTATATTGTGACTTAGTAACGTCTACTAAGGCAAATATTTAAAAATTATTAAAAGGATCTCGTATTATCATTGCATGAAATATTTCTGTACATATTTTGTTAGGATATCCACTCATATACGTATGGGTTAAACAAGAGAATTAAAACGAAATATAAAAACAATAAGCGTCCATTTTTAACACAATTGCCAGCTGATATGCCGGTAACCCTACAATACGTTCGTTGACAATAAAATTTCAACGATAAATATATTTCCAGTATTAAAAAGTGTACAAAGCTCTTTAAATTTCCGATGCAACTGACCCGTGCAGTTCAATTTTGCCAATGCGTATGTTATATGCAAAGTACGGAAATTGAACGATATTCTCCAGTACCAGTAATACAATAATCTTTCGTTTTTAATTTTGAGCATCAAAAGTCATTTAAAAAAATGGAATTCTTCACTAACGTTAGTACTCGTAAGTTAATTACTAAACCCGAAGTTGTGCTTAAATATATAACACAATAAAATAGCATATAGGCTTATATTTATAAACAAAAAATAAAAAAAATAAAATGGACATTACCGCGTATGAAGCTGTAGGTAACACTTTACTCGTATACGACCAAGCCTTTTTCCTGTTACGTAGTCATTAATTATATAGCAGTTCTTATTCTCCTTGAATAAGTTTTATCAAAACTATTCGCACGCGTACTCTTTGGATTTTATTCGTCAATTTATTGGGTATTGCTTGATTGAAAAGAGTCTCACTGTATGTGATTAGAGTAAGATTTGGCGGTAGTTTTGCACTTAAAGTTAGGAAAATTGTTCGCGACAATTTTATGTACATTAATGTGGGAGACCCGTGCCTTTGGCACATATGGGTCGGCACGATTAATTGTTAAAATATTGTTTCACCGAGTGAATAAAGTGACCAAAGGACCAACCTAAGAATTCTTTGGGAAATATTGTGCCCAAAGTTTTTATTTAATATTTTCTCCTGAGATAAAGGTCGTCCTAATTTAGAGGCAGAATCTGTAATCCCCGAAGCATCCTTTCCCAGTGATCACCAGCAGAAGCAGGGTGGCGGAAGAACATGGGGGATTCTACACGGAGGGGGTCATCTACCCACTGGAGATGACCCAAGGTACGTCGGGGTACCAGGGATTTCCTTTCTAGGATGCACCTGGTTCCCGGCTACTGGTACCCGAGACAGCGTGCGGTTTTTAGTCGGTTCGAGTCCGACACAGCCACCGGTGGGTGGTATCCGAGGTCCGCATAAAAAAAAGGGGCAGAATCCGTTCATGGTGTACACATTTGCTTTATCCCGTTACTATCAATGTTATGGTATGAATGTAAATGTAACAATGGTATTATTAGTGAAGATTATTATTATCAGTAAAAAACATATTTTGCAACATAAGAAAACAGTTGCTTTGTTCTTGGAATATAGTAATTCTTGGAATATATATAGAGTACAATGGAGAATGAAATTGTAATATTTTCGAGATTTTTTTGTAAATTTTGAACTCAGAGACTCTGAATCTGTATTTTTACTTTCTGTAACTAAAACTTTTGCAGACTTTAAAATTCACTAAACTCAAAGTCTATTTACAATTTAGTTTCTGTAATATTAACTAGTTAATAGAAATCTGTACCATTTTTTTTATTAACATAAACTTTGTTTTTATTTACAGATAACAGCATTCACCAGTTTTTGTCGGGTAAGTGCGTTGTACCTTTATTTAATTTTATAAGCATTTGAAGAAGAACGCATAACATGAAAAAAAAAACTGTCAACCCTGCATTCATTAAACCAAACAACTAGTTGTTGATCAAGTGGATGATTGAAATCATCATCATCATCATCAACAGCCTACAATAGTCACTGCTGAACATAGGCCTCTCCTTAGAAAGGAGGTTTTGGCCTACTATATTTCCTTCAAGTTTTCCTTCTTCTGGCAGTGCTGTTGTTCTGTGCAGTTTGATCCCTTAGTCGGCTCTTACGATACCCACGGGATGAATAGGGGTGGTTACATTTCGTATTCTTAATCCGTCACCACACGGACGATCGAAATGTAACTACAAAAAAAAATGTGTGTTTCTCACTTATGTGATTTCCTAAATTATTTTCTACTGTTGTTGTTATAATAATAAACCTAATAAACCTAATAAACCTTATTTACTCAATATCCAGTTTAAAATATACATACTTTAAAAACCATTATCAACCATTTTATTATCCATCAAGTCAATTTTATTATTTGAAAATTGGTCCATTTACTGATGAGTCTATTCAATAGTCTATCAGACTAAATATTGTTTTCAAAGGATGAACGGTTTTAGTCACGTCTGTATTTCGGATATGCCCTACTAGTTTTAGACTCGCAGCGCCTGCCACTGATGAAAGAGAGAGCTAATGAGCAGACGGGTACCTGATGGTAAGTGATTATCGCCGCCCATGCACATTGCAACCAACTGAGCGTCTCTCCCCGCCTCCTTAGAATCAAATGCAGGGTTTGGGCTCCGGTAACCACACGCTCTCACTCGGTAAAAAGCTACGATTGCTTAACTCCCGGCAGGAAGCCTGCACATTCTCTGCCGAAGCACGGCTCACCCATGAACTTGACACAATCAATATACCAACTCAGGTCAGAGTAGTCTAGAAGGCCAAAACCTCCTTTCTAAAGAGAGGCCTATGTCCAGTAGTAGACTATTACAGGCTGATGATGATGATAATTAGAACACATTTTCTCAAATAACTGAACTTAAATCTTTTACATTTCTCCAATAATTTAAACCGTATTAATAACAAACTAAAAACACTAAACGCACAAAAAATTTAAAGGTCATACAATCCCTATAACCTATTCCTTACATAATAATGTGCCCGGATTGTTGCGAGACCAGCTGCTAGATTTAAAATCCCAAACAAAAATAATGGACGTGAGGATGATACTCGAAATAGATTTGATTTAGATTGAGTCCCCGACTTTAACTCGTTTATATTGAGACTCGACCTAGAAGTCAATCAATCCCGAAATAAAGCGAATAGGAAACCAATATGGAATTAATCTAAGCAAAATGAACGTCGTTCAGAGCTATTGTGATTTCAAGGGTTTGATTTCTTTCGTAGAGTATATTGAGTCAATTAGGATGGTAATCTAATGAGGGTTCATTCCTAACTTTTAAACTATCTCATTCCATAATTCCGTGTGGTGACTCTGACGGATTAAGAATACGCATTGTCACCACCCCTAACCATCCCGTGGGTGTCGTAGGAGCCGACTAAGGGAGCAAACCACGCAGGACAACAGCACTGCAGAGAGAAGGAAAATTTGACACAAACCCTATACCAACCCGTCTGGCCAGCGTGGTAAAGTAGGCCAAAACCTCCTTTCTAAGGAGAGGTCCTATGTCCAGCAGTGGACAATTATAGGCTGTTAATGAAATAATGATGATGTCAAACTCCCTACGCTTTTTTATAATCTAAAATTACTTTCTACTGTTTGACGGGCCTGTTGGTCTAGTGGTTAGTGACCCTAACTGCTAAACCGAAGGTCGTGAGTTCGATTCCCACCCAGGACAAATATTGTGGGATGAGCACGGTCATTTGTTCGGATTAAGAATACGGAGTGTTACCACTTCTATTCATTCCGTGGGTGTCATGCGAGCTGACTAAGGGAGCAAACTACGTAGGACAATAGCTCAGCAAAGAGAAGGAAAACTTGACACAAACCCTACACCAACCCGACTGGCCAGCGTGGTATAGTAGGCCAAAACCTCCTTTCTAAGGAGAGGCCTATGTCACGCTATGGACTGTTGGGGGCTGTTGATGATGATGACATTTCTAGTTTCATCATTTTAAAACCTTGAGCCGTCGCGGGACGTACGAGTACGCGGGAAGCACGTAGCTATTCATACATTGTTGTAATGTGAAATCTAGGGATATTTCTTTCCCTTCAAATGGATAGGTTTTTCATCATTAAATATTTCATGGCATTTAAAACACCCACAAGAATGGAATCTTTTCTAAATATTATATGTATATTCATCCTAAAGATTGAAATCGCAAATATATAAATATTTTAGCAGGGTATTTGAAACAGGTACTCGTATTCCGAGGCGTAGCCTTATCAAGGAACTTCCAATTGACTGCCATCGCTAGCGATTATATTAAATTAAGGTAGATTCCGTCTCTTCGAGTTACAAATACGTGAATATAAATTAGCTATAAAGGCCAATAAGTTATATTTATAAACCTATTTCTTATCTTGATTTGCCTATTACTCTAGTGGTTAGTGACCCTAATTGCCCAACCGGAGGTGTGCGTTCAATTCCTACCAAGATTTCGGGTAAACTAACCTATTTCTTTTAATGTTATTAGTACTCAATATGATTATTGCGGATTTCACCAAAAAGCTACTGTATTATTCTTGATGAGAACAGACAAACAATAATATGGCTGTACTCTCAAAATGAGGTATATTGAGTAATAAATTAACGTTTCCGCTTAAATCCTGTAGTACCTTTTTGCAACGCCATTATACGTGTCAAGTAAAGAAAACCTCAAACATGAAACAATCAGTCAAGCCATCTTCAATTGATTTCGTTGCGTGTAAATTAACCTAAATGCTATCATCTTCAAAGGAGCAAAAGGTTCATAATATCAATACCATCGTGATAACTTTCATTATCGTGAACCAATTTCAATACACTTTTTGATTAAACAAAATATATAAAGTGGGTGTCGATTGACAAACGCCTCTTCAATATTGGAGAACGTTTTTGAACTCCTCGATATCTTTAAATTTATTAGCTGTATTTAAATAAATATAGTTCTACGATATTACTTCAGTGGTTTCAGACTTATTAGAATCGAGCCTTTATTTGTACGGTATGAAAGTTTAAATTTCGGTTGCTTATTACTCAATGTTGTATCAATTTGTTAGCTGTTTTACCTTTAATGTTAATAATCATCAATTTATAATAAAATTTTAAAAAAATTCAACCGAACTGTTATAGAATAGAAATACGTAAAAATAAAAGGTTTCAAAATCACTATAAAAGCCCGCGCCCTTCGTACAGCGGAAAGCAGTTACATGACTATAATAATACTTTTAATTAATGAATGAATATTTCATTCATTATAAAGAAATATGACTATTTTATCAACCCACTAATCTTGACCACAAATAAAAACGCCTCAATTATTCGGTTGATTCATATTGCACAACGCCGTCCCTCGAAAAAATAATGCCATTGTTTAGCATAAGACAAAGAAGGTGGCAATTAAACACCCCACTAATTGGACGACTTTATTCATAATGTCACCAGCTGGTTGTTTTATTGAGTTTAAAAATAGCCCATAAATATTCATTGAGGTTTGCCGGGATCTTAGAGTACTGTACGTTTATTCTTCGACGTCTATAAGTTCAGAAGAATGCCTATTTTTACAGTGAAATAAATAACGAAAAAATATGGGTTTATACACAATTTCTTATTTCTTGAGAATTCGGCAGACAGTTATTGTGACAATTTAGTGTTGTTTGTATGTTTTCTTTTCAGCCTGTCGCCCATAGAGCGAATGTCCATAATACGTATTGTTTTGGAGATTTAAACCTAAAAAAAAAAACAAAAATGTTGATTTATGTTATACTCGTATTATGGGCAAAGTTTCTCACATGGTGTTGGTTTCCGCAAGATATTATTATGCCGCAATTGTAATAGATTATACTATAAATTATAATCAATAAGTACTAACTGTTACAAGTTTGGAGTATACAATGAACTCGAAGTTTATAGTGCCTTTCAAGTCAATTTAAGGCTTTCATTGTTTTGGACCCCTTCAATGCATGTTGCGTGCATATTGACCATGCAATAGGCTATAGCCAAAAGCTTCCCTGACTTCCCATTTTTGCGTGTGTCTATTTGTCGACATGTGTCCCCTCATCAACTTTTGAATACTATATATCGTTCTTTTGAAATTTATATTAGTCATTTAGGTTTTCCTGACTAGTAAAAATATTTAACCGGAAGAAATATGTCCTTACTAGAGCTTGTTAGCCCTCTCTTATCTTTAATATGCAACTCACTATAAGTATTTATTTAAAAATATTAAAAACGAAAATATTAGTATATTTTTCTTAAATATTTTATCAGTTTTTTTAGTTTTATAATGTACCTACTGAGCATAGCACATACACAAATTTGGAGTTCATTATATTTGTAATTATTTAATAGCATCCTATTATGAATGCACCTATAACTGTGTAATCCTTTTTAAAGAAAAAAAAAAGAAAAAAGTCATTGCAAAAGATGTCAAATCCATATTATGTCCAACTTGGTCTATGAAAGTTTAACAATATGAAGGATATCCTCCTTCAAAGGTAAACTTAATAATAAATTTACGAGTCCACCATGGGAAGCGTCACGTGTGAGCACAGCAGTTGGTGCGGATTAGCTACACATTTCGACCCCATTGAACGCAATTTATGTTCCACTGAATTATATGTTCAAACGTTATTTGCTGCAACTTGTATTTTTACAGGTTTCCGTAGGGTTTTATGGTATAGATGGGCCTTTCGTGTGGTAACGGATTAAGAATACGGAGTGTCACCACCCCTATACATCACGTGGGTGTCGTAAGAGCCGACTAAGGGTGCAAACTATGCAGGACAACTGCACTGCAAAGAGAAGGAAAACTTGACATAAACCCTATTCC